GTCCTTTTTTTTTTTTTTTTAAAGTAGGCTCCACTCACAACCCCTGATATCAAGACCTGAGCCGAGATCAAGAGTCAGATGCTTAAACAACTGAGCCGCCCAGGTGTTCCAGAAAGAAGTCCTTTCTGAAGAAATATGTGAACTAAGACCTAAGACCTGAAATGTGTGAACTAGGACTAAGACCTAAGAAGTCCTTTCTGAAGAAATATGTGAACTAAGACCTGATAACTGGTAGGCTCATACAACAGGATTTAGTATAGCAATTAAAAGTGAATGAGCAAGAACAACATGTATCAAAATGCATGGCCCTCTAAATCACATTGTTTCTGCAAAAATCTCCTTTCTTTAAGTGTGGGTAGGTCTGATCTTATCAAGTGAATACTATTAATGGAGGTCCTAGAAGACAGGAAAGCCAGGCAGTTTTTTCTGGGGGTCTTGAAATCACACAGTGCTGTTGTGGAGAAGGCACATGTCAGGCATGGGCAGGTGACATATAAAAGTTGAAAATGATCCCCTGCCAAAAGCCAGCAAAAAAACAGGGACCTTAGGCTACAGCTACAAGGAACTGAATTCTCCAACAAATGCTGAGTTTTGGAAGACGGCCCTTGCCTCAAGTAAGCTCACAGCCCCAAGTATCCACAGAATCCAGACACATTGTGCCCAAATTCCTGACCCACAGACACTGAGATCATAACTTGATGTTGTATTAAGATCTTGAATTTGTGGTAATGTGTTATGTAGCAGTAAAAACAAATAAAACTATTGAGGTAAATGTTAAGCAAATGCAAATTCTCACAAAATGAGGGGCAAGAAGGGCCACAGAGATCATGGTGGCCAACTCCCTCTCGCTACTGAAGATGGTGAGGTCTAAGAGGTTGATATGAATTACCCAGGGATAAACATTCTAGTTAATAACATAAGGTCCCAAGGCTCCAGGATGAAGAAGAGGAGCAGAATAACACCTAAAATGATAATATCAGGGGGAGGAAAAGAAGAATAAGGTAGTAATTCTGGATTATTCTACATTCATGTCTAAGTTACAAAGACAAAGGAAGTGTAGTAATAAAGCAGATCTGTTTTCTAGCACTGTGCTACTAAATGGAAGGGCTCATGCACCCCAATGTTTATAGTAGCATTATCAACAATAGTCAGATTATGGAAAGAGACCAAATGTCCATCGACTGATGAATGGATAAAGATGTAGTATGCACACACACACACACACACACACACACACACAGTGGAATATTACGCTGCCATTAAAAAGAATGAAATCTTGCCATTTGTGATGACATGGATGGAACTAGCTGTATTATGCTAAGTGAAACAAAACAATCAGAGAAAGATAAACACCCATACAATTTCACTCATATGTGGAATTTAAGAAACAAAACAGATGAACATAGGGGAAGGGAAGGAAAAATAAAATAACAACAGAGAGGGAGACCAACCATAAGAGTCTCTTAATTATAGAGGACAAACTGAGGGTTGATGGAGGGGAGGTGGGCAGGGTGATGGGCTAAATGGACAATGGGCATTAAGGAGGGCATTTGTTGGAATGAACACTGGGTGTTGTATGTGGGTGATGAATCACTGGATTTTGCTCCTGGAACCAGTGCTGCATTGTATGTTAACTAACTAAAAATTAAATTAAAAAAAAAAACATAAAAAGGAATAAGCTGTGAATTAAAAAAATAATAATTGAGCAAGGAATATCATAAAATTTATAGTTAAGTCTAAATAGTGTCTGATGACTTCAAAAAAATAATTGCCATTTAAAAGTCTAGATATTCCAAAAGAAGGAGTGGGAATAAGGAAGGAAATGTGGTGAGTGTTTTATGTTGGCATAGACTGTGCTTATAATTCACTCTAGCTGTTCTTCAACAAATATGCTACTGAATAATAGCCTTTATCTCTTATTCTAAAGACCCCATGGAAACATAATAAGTAAAGTGATGAATTTATAGCAATTTTGTCCAGGCCATAAACCAAAACAAAACCAAATTTTTTTTTTTCAAAACCAAAATTTTTTACATGCATTTTCTGGCTGCATCAGATCAAAAAAGTATTTTTGCATTTTTCCTACTTTATTTAAATTATCCCCATAGAATTTCCTCAGTTTCCCTTATCATTGGCAAAGACTTTATTTTAAGCATATTAATAATAAGATGCTGTGGCTCTGGTTCAAATATAACTTTACCCACTGGCCTGCATTGCTTTGCATTTCAATCTTTACCCACCCACCAATTTAATTTCAAATTATTTTAAATTGAGACTAAGCACCATACAAATTTTAGGTGTTGTAAATATAATTTATGGGGGCCAGCTGGAAAGCCAAAACTTTGATCAAATTGTACATGATAATGGAATACTTGATATAAATGGATAGCATAATTTGACACTTCTCATTGTTGCTCACAGAATTACCTTCACTTTTTGAAGTTCTGATATTTTCATTTATCATTTCCAGAAAAGAAGAAAAATCTTTTTTTGGGGGTGGGGGGGAAGAAGAAAAATCTTTAAAAAGTATTTACCTTCATTGAATGGAGTGTGTTCTGGGATTTCTATTATTAATTGTAAAAACACAGTTTCTGGTCTCCCTATTACATTATTAGTGTCATCAACTAATTATTGATATATTTCTAAAATAATGTCTGAAAACAAGAGGTAAAGTTGTGTTTAAGTTATGTCAAGTTTTAACTGAAATTCAGGCTAGAACTGGCTATCTATTCTGACCTGAAATATATTTAATTTTTCTCCTGGATTTGACAAGAATAGCACTCATTCAGGACAAAGCTATCAGCCATTCTCCAGACAGAGAATAGAGTTCTACATTTCAAGTAATAGCTCAAGACTTCTAGAAAAACCTTTTCTAGTAATTTGTGTCATGTCTCTTCCTTTTCCATCCTAGAAGGCACAAAATGAAATAACTCCTCTGAAAACTTTCTCTTGGTAAAAATCACTGAGCAGCTAGAAACTATAATGAAGTTGTCAGAAATAGATTGAGAAATCAAGCAATTTGCTTTCAAATATACAAAAAATATTATTTTTCCATTGGATACTTCTCTCACATATTGTGAAAGATCACTTATTACCAGAAAATCAGAATTGGTGAGGAAGGAGAGGAATGAGTATACGTGCATAGGGAATGGAAACAAGTAATTTGCTTTGATTTGAATGTGAGCCTGTTTTCTAATCTCCTTTGCAAGTAATGGCATATTGACGTTAGTAATAATTAGCTTTTTAATTCTGGAGACATTCAACTTAATGAATTACATACAATCAATTAATAATCTCAATAGGTTTTCATTTTTAAATTCCCCTTTGTGTTATTTTAAATATGTTGTTATGCTTAATACTTGAATATCTTTATGTTTCCTTTGCAAGAGACTACTCTTCCGCAAATGCGCATTTGCCTATAATTTATGATGGTGACAATGTGGGAAAGTTCACTGGAATTATGATGTTCCAAAATATAGTTTTAGAAATCTGTTCTAGGTGACCAAACATTTCGATATTACTACATTTTAATTTACTCATACTACATTAAAATTTAATTGAATAAAAAAATACTAAATTGTGTCAGTTTTTGTCATGAGATTCATCATACGACTGTTAGGAAATGACTTAGAAAAGCAATTAATCCATTTACCCTCTCTCTTCACATGCAGCTGTTTCTCAATCTTGCAGTTTAATCCAGAGATCAAGGATTGCAGATGTTTCTGGATTTCAGAGAGGATAGGCACTAAAAGGAACAGCAGCACTTCTATGAATATCCAGACATTCTGCAAGTCCTGCCTCTGCTTTCAAGACTGATACTGAAGAGTGAGTCATGGGTAATGGCTGGGGCAGGACAGGGGACCCCAAAGAGATAATCCCTCTTACTCCTTCCACCTCTGCATCGTCCCCTGTCCACACACGTTTCTGCTGACAACCTGCTGCTTGTGACACTTGGACTTTGAAGACTAAAGCTGAAGGATTCCATTGGGCTTTCCAGAATAGATCCTACTAGCCTTCATGTCCCACGAGAAATTGCCTTTCAGCAACAATATCTCTTGCTGAAGATCGAGATACTGTATTGTACTGGGAAAAGCACTGGATTAAGAGTCAAAAATCCTACGGATTAGTCTCAAAGTTTTTATTGCTAGCTAATCCCTGAGCTACTTTTTAAGTGTAGACTGGTAACAGAAATTTTGAATGCTGTGCATGTCACTTATGGATCCTGGAAGGAGACACTAAAAACTCCCTATCTTCCAGTTTTTAAAATATTAATGAAAGAGACTATAATTAAATTATTTATTTGACTCTATTTGGTCCACTCTTACAGGCCTAATTACCTCATCAATTTCTCTCCTCAGCTTTGCTTGCTGGGCTGCTTTTCGCCGACTCTGACAAGGCAACCTGATCTTACACCTGGGCCTGGAGAATTCAGCCACAGGGCCAGGGGAACCTCCTGTTTTCATTCATGTCATGTGTTACAAATTAAACTATTGTAAAGTACAGAAGGTGAAATTCATGTTCTATTATAATTAAGAGAAAAAATAAAATCTAATAGAAATATTTTGACGATTACTGTTTGACGATTACTGTGCTAATATTCCATTTCTCTAATGCTGGCCATTAGTACTCCCCCCAAAATTAGGAAATAGTTTTTGTTACTTATTAGATAAAGAACTTAACTTCAGATCACAAATGTGATATAATGTTAGATCATCATATTTTGACTTCTTTATCTCCCCTTTAAGTCCTCGGATGGCAGTCCCATCCCAGCATATCCCAATCACAGTCTGAGGACTGATGGATATGAAACATCATAGAAGATTTTAAAAGCACTTGAGAATATTCTTCTGAGATAGTAAAGAGCAAAAAATGAAAAACTGTTTTTGTAAAATAAAAATCAATAAAGACAAGTGACAGGTAGAAATTAAGACTACATTTTTTCTAAGTTTGTTTGATAAAAACGTAATAATCAGTAAGACTTCTATTCCTTTCTTTTTTAAAAAAAAGTAGAATGCTTTACGAATTTACATTCATCCTTGCACAGGGACCATGCTAATCTTTTCTGTATTGTTCTAATTTTAGTATATGTGCTGCCGAAATGGGTACAGTGGGACCTTTATTTCAATTCAGTGCCGAGCAGAGAACGAGCTATCAGTAAATACATTTTTAATGGATAAAAATGATTGATGTACTTACTGTTCTTTTTTTTTTTTTTAAAGATTTTATTTATTTATTTATGATAGTCACACACAGAGAGAGGCAGAGACATAGGCAGAGGGAGAAGCAGGCTCCATGCACCGGGAGCCCGATGTGGGATTCAATCCCGGGTCTCCAGGATCGCGCCCTGGGCCAAAGGCAGGCGCCAAACCGCTGCGCCACCCAGGGATCCCCCGTACTTACTCTTCTTAAGTATGTGCTCATCAACCTTACAATACACGAGTTAGCAAATTTCCTTCTCTTGATTTTATTTTTGTTCACAAGATGTTATAGGTAAACTGATCTTTTAAGAAAAATGAAATCTGAATCACAAGATAAATAATGGAAAGAGAAGAACTGAGTCCATTTCCAAGCTCCAAGCGAAAGAGCTCTTAGGTTGGAGGAGGGTGAGGGGTTCAAAGGCAGACGTCTTCCTTCTTTTGCCCTTTACTTCCTCTCTTTCCTCCTCTTTCCTGGGTGACTAGCCTAAAAATTGAGGAAATTTCTACGTGCAAAAGATGTCAATCATTTCTGGATCAACATATCTGTAAAACTGCACCCTGAGCAGATCTAAGCTTTGCTAAATTAGTCCACACATCAGCCATTAAATACTGGCCACAAACTTACAGCCAAGTATGAAATGGAGGCTGGTAGAAACAATTTAGGTGAAAGTAAGTCAAGGGCTTTTGCCCTAGTAGACAGACAGAGGGGCGGGGGTAAGAGTGGGGTGTGCGGGGGGGTGAGTAGATTTGAAGCACCCCTTGTCTAGGATTGTGGAAACAGGGAAGACATTCATGCTTAGGGGGAATTTCTCTTGGCATCTGGCCATGGTTATTTTGGGTCCAATCATGCTAGACTTTTCAATCAGAGTGAGTAACTTCCCTGTAGAATTGAATATCTGTAAAGCAATCACAGCTACTTGTCTGGTGGATATACACTAGAGGAAGACAGGCTAGTCTCCTTCAAGAATCTAACAAAGACTTCTGTCACCTTTCTTCCTTCACAGTTTGACTTTGCAGGTTTCTACCTGTCTACACGTATAATAATGCAGAGGCAAATAGCTCAAGTTCTTAAAAAAAAGGAACAAAATAACTTGGGTGCAATGCTAACTTTATTTGAATATTTATTCTCAACCAAATAGCTCCCTTTGGTGATCTTTCTTCCAAGTAAAATAGTTGACAGCAAAGAAAGTCTTCCAGTTCCAACATGCTTACCTGTTCACTTTTGTATTAGAGCCTGCGGTTTGCCCTGACACAATGAACAAACACAGGGTTTCAAAGAATAAGAGATAATATATTCTTGGAAAAGACAGGTACGAAAATTGCTATTTATATTAAAAGGGCAGGTTGAGGTTATGTATATCTTTTAGGTTTGGGAGAGGCACATCAATCCAATATGCAGAAGAAACATTCTCTAGAATTATTAATTTCACAAAGCAAATGAAAAAATCATCATTTCAAAGTTTGGTATTTTGGTAATCAAAAGTTCTTTACCTAAGTAATGAGTTTTCCAGAAAGAAGAAAGAAAGAAAGAAAGAAAGAAAGAAAGAAAGAAAGAAAGAAAGAAAGAAAGAAAAAGAAAATTAACCTAATAATGACACCCATACTTTTTGGTTCATTTACATGTTTAATGTGAAGAATTACCATTTATTTAACTCTAGTGGGACTCAGGTACTATAGAGACCTTTACATTGCTGATTTTCTCTACTCTGTTTCCTCTTAAAGGATTTATCAGGAGACACTGGCTTGTTAATTAATCACCCTCTTTCTCCTTTATCCTTAGAGTGGGATTGGCAAAGGAAGGTCTGGTACGGACCACTCTTGAATAATCTGCACAATTTATTACAAGGCAGATTCCTGGGCCTTAGTTTAGATCTCCTGATTCAGACTTTCTAGGTTTGAGGTCCAGTATTTTGTATTTTTAATAAATTCACCAGGTGATGCACACTAGAATTTCAGAATTCTTTTATAGTGGGGAAAACTTACCTTCCAGGGAGGGACAGCTTTAACTTAAAAGTGGAGAGTAGGAAGGGAACTCAGAGCTTTCCAGCCAAAGGTACACAGTCATGCTTTGGGTAGAATTGCAAACTTACACATATTGCATATTTCTAATAGTTTTTCAAGGGAATTTATCATACTTATAATATACCAGCAGCATTAATTAAACTTGGATAATATTCAGATATATGTTTAATATAGAAGTATATACTTTTCTTTTTTAAAAAAAGATTTTATTTATTTAGTCATAAAAGACAGAGAGAGAGAGAGAGAGAGAGAGAGGCAGAGACACAGGCAGAGGGAGAAGCAGGCTCCATGCAGGGAGCCAGATTTGGGACTCGATCCCGGGTCTCCAGGATCATGTCCTGGGCCGAAGGCAGGCTCTAAACTGCTGAGCTACCCAGGGATCCCCCCTATACTTTTCTTTATGGGAAGTTTAAAAGTGGCATAATATTCATTGCATGAGTAGCCACAGGGACCTGCATTCATGTAAACAGGCACCATGGGAGACTTTTCTGTCCCGTTGTGCTATAGAAACACAGAATGAGAAATGACCTAATCCCAAAACCATTAAACACACAGTTAGTTATAAGTGACCGTTAACAGAATGTGATCATAACACTTCAGGAGCTTGATATGGCACCCCTAAACTTTGGTTAATGGCTTAATATGCAATCAAGTGTCTTTCAAAAATGTCTACCAACGCAAGAAACATGAAACAGGTCATACAAAGAGACAAGTATCAGCACTGAGATAGATTACAACCTGCTCCTCTGTGCTCACAGCCAGAGTTATCATTCTTACCCCAGTTCTGTGTTATAATCACTCATCGAGCTTTTATTTTTATAATCACTCACATCTATAAACCTCACCCAGGAACTTCCCATTTAATCAAACTGTGGTGGAAAACCATGAGAACTGGAAAGGAATATCTTCAGTCCAGGAAAACTGAAGAGAACGGGAAGGGACCCATTATCAGAGTAGAGATTTTAACATCTTCCTGGAAATGCAAGGATGACTGGAGTTTGTTGATGTGGAAGAGAGTAAGTTGAAGCCTGACATGTGCTTCATGTCAGGAAGCCCATTAGCTCTGCACAGCCCCGAAGATGTGTGGTCCTTAGAATCACAGGGACAGTGGACAGTAGGAGTTAAACAGGGATCATGGGATGGAAGATTCACTGAAGTACAAAATATAGACTACCTGGCCGCTGCCTTCCCTTTCCCCAAACACAGGGCTCCTGGTTGCCAAACTAACATGTGAAAAAAGGAAAAGGATCTTTTCTTGTGGTATTAAATGAGTGATCTAAGAAGCACCAGGACAGCTAGGAAGGGCACTGGAGCAAGTGACTCTGTTCTGTCACTTTACAGTCCCTTAGTGTGAGAGCTGGCTCCCTAACCCCTCACCCTACAGTGCAGCTGGCTAATCAACAAGCCCACCTACCCTCAGAAAGCTCACAGAATGATACTTCTGTAGCCTGTGTTTAAATACACATGAAAAACAAGGGACCCCAATCATGAGGAAACTCTATGACAACACAAAAAGAAAACTCAAAGTAAAGAGAGAAAAAAGTGATCCTGAAGAATTTAGAAAAAAATATTTCTAATTAATATTAGAGAGAATAAAGAAGATTCCGCATCCTTAAAACAAAAACAAGATGCAATGAGAAAAGAAAAATTAGAGAACGAAAAGAGCTCCAGATACTTAAAAAATATGCTTTATGAAATTAAAAAAGAAAGGGAAGAAATCACAAGAGTTGAAAGAGACTGTTGAGAAGTAAATCTCCTAGAATAAAAATTGGAGAGTTAAATTTTTTTTAAAGTGAGAGAAAAGTTGTAAGACATACATAATAATTCAGAAGTTCAACATTCTATTCATAGAAATTTTAGAAATGGACCAAAGAAGACAGAGGGGGAGGAAATAAAAAGAGAGAGTAAAAGAAAGAGAGAGAGAGATTTCCTAGAATGGAAGACAAAAGTCTTCAGACCAAAAAGACCAGTGTATCCCCAGCGCATGAAGTATTAGAGTCCACTCTAATTTTCATGCCATTTCAGAATGCCGTGGAGAAAGATTATCCAAGGAAGTTTCCAAGGAGAAGAAACAGGACATCAACAAAATAACAATAGTAGTTTGGCATTGGACATCCAATTAATTCTGAATGCTAGAAGGTATTAGAACAATGCCTTCAAAGCTTTGAGTGGGAATTATTTATAACTTGGAATCCTAAAAGCAGTCAAAACAACTGTCCAAAGAAGAACACATTTTTAAAACCTTCAAAAATTTAAGTTCCCTGAAAGGTACTTTCTGTCCACCATTTCTTAGGATATTATTTGAAGATACATTATAGCACAATAAGACAGTAAATTAGGGATGAAAATGTGAAATCTAGCAAACAGATGATCCAGTCCAGGACAGAACTGCGCAGTGACCCATTCTAGAGAGAAATTAGAACAACTTCGTGAGGACCATGAAAGGATTGGGAAAAGGTATCAAATTAAAAAGGAGATTTGAATACTACTCTGGAGATACTAAAAGATTTTAGGAGATAGAAAAGGCAGGTAATGTAAGAAAAAAAAAGAAAAGCAAATAGAAAACAAACCAGATAAGAAACTAAGTTGTAATCATATTACACTACACGACACTACAATGGATACTATTTATATTGTGATTAGAATATAAATAATGCTTAATGACTTTTGACTTTAAGAGACAACCTAAAGACATAGTCAATTTTTAAGAAGAAGAAGACTCTAAGATTCTTACTGGCTGTATGAATCCAGAAATTTTCTTAATTTCTATGTTACTCAATTTCGTTTCTGTAAGATAGAAATGTTATCTATTTTATCATCTTTTTGTGAGGCTAAGTTACTTTACACAAAGTACATGTAATAGTGCTTGATACACAGTAAGTCCTC